TTTCAGAAAGCATTGATCCCAATGGAAAAGTCATTCTTTTCCTCATACGGCTCTATCTCCCCAGAGGTGAATGCACCCTAAAATGCTCAAATGATAAAGAAACTTAGAGCAAGACTTCAAAAGCAGTGGGAAAAGTACCAAATGCAACATTTTAAAAAAATGCATTTATTTTTATTGGAAAGACAGCTTTACTGGGCAAAGCAGAGACAGATCTCCCGCCCAATTGGTACACTCCCCCAGGCAGTCACAATGGACAGAGCTGCGCCGATCCGAAGCCAGGAGCCAGGAGCTCTTCCAGGTCTCCCATGCAGGTGCAGGGTCCCAAGGCTTTGGGCCATCCTTGACTGTTTTCCCAGGCCACAGGCAGGGAGTTGGATGGGAAGAGAAACAGCCGTTGACACAAACTAGCGCCCACATGGGAACCTGGCAGCTGTAAGACAAGAATTTAGCCAGTAGGCTATTGCATTGGGCCCAGAATATTTTAACATACATTTTTTAAAGAGTCCTTCACAGACTCATGTGATAAAATATCTAAGAAACACAATAATCTCTAAAGAAGTTCTGGGGCCTTTGAACAAATTAAATGTAGTTACTGTAATCATGTTTGCTAGAACTGTTTTTTTTCCCCCAAGGAAATTATTATAAGTTACATAAGTGTTTTTATTATAGAGAAAATATTATGGAAAAAGTAATTTCTCTATCACAAATCTTAAAACATGAAATATATCCAGATATTTAATGCCATATGCCAACAGGTCTTTCTGAATCGTCTGTCTGGCAATCAATAATTCTCCATTAGTGAATATGCACCATGACTCATCAGCAACGATTCACCAAGTTAGCGTGGATCATTCCTCCATTGTCTCCCCCCACACACAATGAGAGCCAGGGGAGCCACGCCTCCCAGGGGAGACACACTCAAGATGGAGGATGAGAGCCAGGGAAGCCACGCCTCCCAGGGGAGACACACTCAAGATGGAGAATTAGAGCCACGGGAACCACGCCTCACAGGGGAGACACACTCAAGATGGAGGATGAGGGCCATGGAAGCCATGCCTCACAGGGGAGACACACTCAGGATGACAGGAGACAACAACCAGGTCTTCCTGAAGAGTTCTAGAATACGCACCATCCCTCTCTAAGAATCCTCTCTAGAATCATCTTCTATCTTTGACATCCTTCAAAAAATAACAGTAAGCACTCTTCACAGGGTAAGAAAAGAACCGTATTTTCCCAGGTGAGGACTCACTGCGCATGGCAAAATGCCTTTCAGCTCTGAAAGGAACCACAAGGCCTGTCCCCAGGGCGTGCGCCCTTGTGCTGCGTTTATCAGTTGGCTGCTTTCTCAAGAACGCGTTCAAATGATCAAGGCTCCACGTGCAGTCATTCTTCAAAGTCCAAAACTTTGTTAGGGAACTATGTTTTTACCTTTCCTAACATTCAAAACGAGGCTTTCCTGCTCATAAACTCATCTTTCGTTACCATCTGCCTCTCGGGAAGTCGGATTTACTCATGTTTTTGTTGTCTTAGGATGGAAAGTCACAGAGAAAGAAAACACATATTAAGCATTTGAAGATAACTACTGTTTACTGGGAACGTTATTTTAAAATGAATTTGAGTCACTCATTTACTGTTGGCAAATCCAGGACAATGATGACTCCAGTGTCTCTAGAAGGTTTCCAAGTAGCAATCATACCCTATTCTGGCCTTTGAGAGGTGTTAAGACTCACCCCCTAATTACAAGGCTTTTCTGGGCTATTACTACCTCACCACTACATTTCAGAACTAAACAGCAGCTACGAATAAATAAAAATAGATGCCAGGTGATGTGTTTTCTCAAATTATGGATATAACCGACAAGAAAAACAAGGCATTTTCTGCATAAAACACCGCTTTCTCTTCTAATAATAAAGCCCAATTTTGTCATGTTCTAATCAACAAAGTTTGCTTTCCACCCAAACACTATTCTCCTGCTTTATTCTACAGAGACATTGCCCAATAAATAAAACATAAGCAGCACCTGTGACACTGTTTTCTAGTAACCACAGTCCAAAAAAAAAAAGAGGAAAAAAGTGAAAGTAACCTAACAAGACCGCTGACATCAATATACACGAAATATCGTTATCCCACATCATGGGTTTTTAAAATATTAATCAGATGTTTTTCATCCTTTGCACAGTTGTTTGAAACGTATGTTTCTCATTTAGAGCACTTCTTTGGGCATGCCACCTACTGTGTGTTCAAGAGCCACATGAGACCGGTGGCTACTGCTCTGGATGACGCTTCGCAGATTTCCACACATAACGGGCTTCCTGGACTGAAAGTCCAGGCCCTTCCGATATGGTCGGTACGCTTTCGGGTTGTCCACATTCAGGAAATCACTTAACGAGCCTATTCCTCCTTTATTTTTTACCCACCCATAGTTCTGATTTTCCCCACTGGAAGGTATTTTTCCCTCAGAGTATTAAAAATAAACAAAAATATATATATCATTATCCTACTCTTCCGCAAGGCCTGAGATGCCTTCTAATCCACGCATCCATCAACAAGCAGGAAGGAGCAGGCCTGCGCTGTTTCCACAAATGGACATGTCACCTGCAAGCTTAATGGATGGTGACATGACAAACCCAAAGGCCAGCTTCGGTGTGCACCTCCGAGGCAGAGGATCTGACAGAATGAAGTGCAGTCCCCTTCCTCCATGGGGACTCAGCTGTGGGACGCCCCTCCCTCCCGCCCCGCCCCCACCCCTCAGGACACTCCCCGCCGGTTCAGGAACCAAATCTGGTGTTTCATTTCGTAGGAATCCAGTGCCCAGAGGAAGAACAGAATGTTGGCATCCAATTTTAATGAATTCAACTTGAAGTCTAAATTTGCCTCAAATGTGGAAATATAAACACAGCCATCCATCGTAGCACAAGCTCTGTAACACTTTGGTGTCTGTCCTGGCACGCCTGCCTGCAGCACCGCACTGGGTCTGTCTACACTCAACTCCGATCCCACAGAGTCACAAGAGAACAGAAAAATGAAACCAGGCACAGGGGAGGCTTTGCTGAGCCTCTCGGTAATAACACCCCCCGATCATTATGTCTTAAGTGACACTATAATTATAGACGGGTGAGCAGGTTTTCGGCTGCTGACCCAACCTGTTCCCTGAAACACAAAAGGCAACTTTGGTACCCTTCGGTGAGGAAACCCCCCCATTAAACAAACAAAACTAGGAATTATGTCCGCATTTGGAGAGAGGGCCCTAACAAGGTAGTAACAATACCAATACTATAGTAATCCTCAAACAAAACAGATGAAATTTCTACACTGTACTTCCCCCCCCCCCCAGAACAGTTTTCAACTGCACACTAGCCACCACTTTCAAGAAAAGGCACACAGTGATTCTACGGTGATTTTTCTCAGGCAACAAAGTAACTTCTTCATGATCCCTAGCTCCATTTCTGCAGGCAAGACCGCCCAATGACAGATTTCTTGGTGTAAATTTTACAATCACTGAACTTTCATCTTGTCTGGGTGATCTTACGCTATCCACACAGCACAGCCAGGGGAAAGCCCCCCGGGGCTCTGAGGAACCCACAGGAAGAGATAAGCTGGCGTGGGTCACTTCTTTTGCTGGTGAAGAACAGTCATGTACTAAATATTCTCTTTGTATAAACAGACACTCCGTTGGAACCCAGGAGGCAGGAACACTGTGTCCACTGGTGTAGTATTTCAAAGCATGTTGGGGAGGGGGGGTTTGCAAATGCTCAAGGCATTAATTAAGACTTTTCCCTTGGCGTATTAATTTGCTTAAGCACCTCCTCGGAGTGGGGCAGAGTCCGCCTTCCATTTGTTACTGCCCCTGCCAGCACCGGTGGGCACAGGAGTGCAGATGGTGGCATAACCTTGGGGCAGCTTCTTAAATTGGATTGTGGAAAGACACACAAGCCCAGGGCGAGGCGGGCAGATCCGCAGCTGAATCCCAGAGGCCACACACTCCCTCTGGGCTCAGGACCAACAGGACGCTGCGTGCAAGCGACGCCCTTGTACTTGGGAAGCTCAGTGCCCGGGGAAGGCACAGCCCCACCTTATACCTGCTCGTGTTACAGCCTCTGGAATCAAAGTATTCTCACATGACACATTACTACCAATAACAGATTCCGGCTCTGTTTGAAAAAAAAAAAAAAAGTGCCGGGCTAGGCTGGAAGGGTGGGAGGGGGGATTTCATATTTGTCCTGCTTTTGTCTAAAAACCAAAACCCAAGTACTAACTAGTTTTCATTCTCTTCAACCGTTCCAGGAAAGCCATTCAACCAACCAACTGCGACTCCACCCGACAGCTTCTATACTTACTTTTCTCACAGTTTCTGAGTGACGCACTACCAAACGCTGGGGACTGGGGTGGAAGGGGGTTGGAAAGGGAGGGAGAGAGGCAGCAGCCCTGTTCCTCTCCCTTTCTCAAGCAGGGCGTCTTCCGCCCTGTAAACTTGGCAAAAGGAGAACGGCACTGAAATACAGCGCTCTCCATATAAGGCAGCCCAGCTAAACATGTCATGCGTAATTTATGGGTAAGCAGGCAGAGAATTAACCTTTGCATGCACAGAGTTGGCCCCGAGGAATGGAGGGCTGGGTGTCAGCTCCGAGGCCAAGGCTTGCGCGGAGGACCCGCGCGCGCGCGCGGGCTCTCCTCAGCCGCCCAGGCCGCCAAGTTGGAAGCACCCTTCTTCCCGCACCTGTTTCCCGGCTCCCCACCCTGCTCGGCCTGGGCGCGCCGTCTCCCCGCGTGGGGCCCGGCTGCGCCGCCCTGAGCCCCGGACGCTGTCCTCCCCCCGGGGCCGCAGGGCGCACAGGGGGGAACCGGGACACGCGGCACCCACGAGCTGCTCGGCGGCCACTCCCGGCCAGGCCGTGGGCAGCCCCGCGGCAGCGTGGGAACAATGAGGCGCGGGGGGCGCGCGCGCGCGGCGCGGCGCGGGCAGAGGGCAAAAAAAAAAAAAAATTAAAATGGAAACTCACCTCTCACATGTTTTTCAGAGGCAGCCCGACTGTCGACCGACTGCCCAAGGCATTGTGGGAGTCATGGGTCCCAGAGGCCCGCGGTGGAGAAGAAAAAAAAAAAAAAAAAATGGAACTTGTCAGTTCCTCGTCACGGCAGCATGGTGAGCGCCACAACTCATTCAGCCGCAGTGAAAAGACTGTTGCATGTCGCGCTGCAGCCTCTTATCGCCCAGCTCGGGTTTCCGCCGCCGCTGCTGCTGCTGCGCGGCCCCTCCCCCGCGCCCAGCCCCACCAGGAAGCCCGGGGCGGACTCGCCGAGCTCGGGGACGCACGCGGCGGCCGCCCGGCGCGCCTGCCCTTGGCGCCCGCGCCCTGGCGCACGGCCGCCGCCCCGCGCCCTCGGCCCCCGGCCCGGGCACGCAGGCCGGGGCTCCCGGGGCGGCGGCGCGCTGGGCGGCGCGGGGAGCGGAGGGCGCCCGGGGCCCGGCGCTGGAACGGCGCATCCCCTCCGCGTCCCGTTGGTACCTTCCATCTTATAGACGTCCCACGCGATCACCTCGCAGCCGCGGGTGCCGCGGGATCCCGCACGCACGGGCCCGGCCTCTGCCGCCACCGCCACCACCACCACCCCTCAAATCCCGCAACCCCCGCGGGGCCCTTGGGTGGGGCTGTGCAAGGTTAGGCTGAAGGTTACATTCAGAGCACAGACCCCAACCTCTCTGCATCTGGAGGGACTGACGCCTCAAAATGTGCCACACGCGGGCGGGAAAAAAAAAAAAATACTGCAACACCGCAGCTGTGCTTCTGTCTCGAGGAACCGGGCAGTGCACAAGCTTGGAATTCCGGTACAGAAATGGACCTCACAGAAGCACACTCACGCACCAGCTTCCTGCCTGCTGTGGAAGGGACATGCCAAGGGGAAGAGCCCCTGTGTGGCCCAGTTGGCTCTGCGGGATTTACAGAAAGCAGGGCGCTCTCTCTCTTTAAGAGACAGTGTTCTAAAGCAGTAGCATATTCATTAACCCCCTATAACGCTATAAGATCTCTTATTTGCAATGGGAAAAATTTTAGACTTTGGGGAAATAAAGTTTTGGGAAATGTGTGGCCAGGATTTCCATTGAATTAAAGGAATTTTGCTCACTTCTTCCTGCGTTTGGGGCACGATTTAAGACAAAATGCTGGGGCAGGTACAGAATTCTTCGCGCGGGTTTCTTGGGTTCTGTTAAGAAGGATGAGGCTGGACTAAGAAGGGAAAACATCAGAAGTGCTAAAGAAGAGATGTACCTTCCAGATGGCAGGTGGCGTCAGTAACGGGTTTGTGCACTTGGATCTGTGCTGGGCCCACCGAACACCGAGGTCATGCTGTGCACTGATCCCGTCTAGAACAGTTGCCAGTGTACTGTACCCAAGTGCCAACCTGGCCGAAGGAAGCAGGGATGGGCACTTTGTATTTGCCAAGTAGTACCTATTCCAAGCTGTCAAGACTTCATTTCTTGTTCAGCAGTGGTTTCAACAAAAAGTGCCTTCGGTGGGGGAGATGCAAGAGTCCAGAGAGTAGGTAGGTACAGCCTAGATAATACCTCTGCTAGGAAAGTGACAAATGCCATCACTTCTGCCTGCGGGGAAGGCCGGAGAAGGCTTCCCACGGAGGAGAAGTGTAACCGATTCCTGACCAGGTCGTTCCGGGGAAAAGGGCCAACCAGGCTGCCTAAGGTACTCGGACCTGCCAGCCCTTCCGCCTTAAATGAGAGGAAGGTGTGACAGAGGGTCACAGGAGATGAGACCAGCAGTAGATGCGTAACACAGGAAATCTCAACTTCACTCTGAAACTGAACGACTAGGAAAGGGAACTCTGCAACAGGTGAAGTGGGAAGCCGCATTTCAGAAAGATCTGCGCAGCAGTGTGGAGGGTGAGTCGGAGCTGAGGGGGCGCCCCCTGAAGAGAGAGTAGGTGTGGACAGACTGGAAATATGACTCATTCAGGGAGTGAGGAAGGGCGGGGCCTGGGAGACTCCCAAGCCTGGCTTTGCCTACCGGACTGCGGCTTGCCTTTCCATTTCTTCCCTTTGCCTCCCATTCTTTGTCAAAATCAAGCAGTGACTTCTGTGCACCGTCTTCCACCTGCGTGGCTAGTGGCTGCCCTCGCTGGTCTGCATGTCCCTCTCCACAGAAAGCCCCGTGAATCACCCAACGACTCATTCTGACTTCAGGAATTTCTTGGAGTTATTCTCAAATCTTGATAGACTTCCACACCCAGGTTCTTGGTATTTTTCTTTTTCCTAATATGGGTTTGAAAAGTTGCTGTTTGGGGCAATATGGTGAAAAATAGACTTTTAAAGCTGTTTGTGTGTGTGTGTGTGTGTGTGTGTGTGTGTGTGTGTGTGTGTTACAAGGGAAGTTATGTTTCTGGAGGAAGGATGGATGTCTGTGAATAAAAGAGAAATTGAACCTGAGACAGATTTTCTGCTCCACTTAACAAAACACAAAGAAATACAAGAAAGACCCTTGAATGTTCAAAACAGGAGAATAAATGCCTTAGGACATGGCAAACATACCCCTATGTTACTTTACAGTATATTAAAAAAAAAAAAAAAAAAAAAAAAAACGGGGGCCCAGCGCGATGGCGCAAGTGGTTAAGGTCCTCGCTTTGCACGCCCGGGATCCCATTTGGGTGCCAGTTCTAATCCCAGCGGCCCCGCTTCCCATCCAGCTCCCTGCTTGTGGCCTGGGAAAGCAGTCAAGGCCGGCCCAAAGCTTTGGGACCCTGCATCCACGTGGGAGACCCAGAAGAGGCTCCTGGCTTCGGATCAGCATAGTATCAGCCGTTGCGCTCACTTGGGGAGTGAATCATCGGACGGAAGATCTTCCTCTCTCTCTCTCCTCTCTGTATATCCGCCTTTCCAATAAAAAAAATCTTAAAAAATAAAAAAATTAAAAACAAAAGGAACGAATGCCTCGGGAAACACATCACACAGTCGTCAGTCTACCCAAACACACAGAAAGGAATCAAGACAGACTCTGATAAGAAATCACCAATGGATCCTACTTTTTTTTTATATATCATTGACAACAACAAGGAATGAATAACAATATTTAAGTTTTGGAAGCACTGTAACATACCAAAATCCTATGCTAAAAATATGAAGTCATGTTGCCAGCTTTTGGCTCCATCCTAACCACATTTCAGATTGTGGAGGGCCCTCGAAAACAGGATAGCAATGAAAAGTTGCTCGTGTCCATGAAAACGCTGTGGCTGTTCCCTTCGTGCCAGCAGGGCGTGAGGCTGCCTCCCGCTTCTGTACGTGTAGTGACCGCACGCAGTTCCGCAGGCGAGGCCGTCTACAAATAAAATAACGGTCCATGTGGAGAAGGAAATTGTGGAAAACAATTTCAGATGAAATAAAACTACATTTTCACATAAAGCAAAGAATGGTCTCTGCAAGTTCTTAAAATACTTCCATCCATTCTGAGTCTTAATTGTACCAAGGAATCCCCAAAGAAATTCAGTTAACAGGCACAGCTTTTAAAGATAATATCAACTCCTTGTTTGCCAACACCACAGATAAAGGAAATAGCAGCGTTTAGCTTTTTTCGGTCAAATGGAAATATTTAAGGCCTGTGTGTGTGAGTGTGTGTGTGTGTGTGTGTGTGTGTGTGTGTTGTGTCTTGTCCTGTAGACCACTCTCACAGCTCAGTAAATGCTCCCTCTCTAGCGAGAATACTTGCCTCCGCGTCCTCACTCGCTCACCCAAGCACGTTAATGAAAATGTCTGAAGTCAGCATATTTAAAAAATAAATATAAAAAGGTCTTAATCGCTGGTCAAGAAATGTTTTTATCATACAAGGGCAAAAATAATTCATTAGAAGATGGTATCAACACTAGGTCTTTCCTTTTCTGATTCTTAAATATAAAATTTAAAAGAAGTTTCGAAAGGCCAGCGTTGTGGCATAGTGAGCTCAACATCTACTGAGGTGCCAGCATCTCATATGGGTGGCCAGTTCTAGTCCTGGCTGCTCCACTCCCCATCCAGCTCCCTGCTTGTGACTTGACAAAGTAGTGGAGGGTGGCTCAAGTCCTTGGGAGCCTGCACCCAAGTGGGAGACCCGGAAGAATCTCCTGGACCCTGATTTTGGGTAGGTTCAGCTCCAGTCATTTCGGCTACTTGAAGCGCAAACAAGTGGGTGGAATTGCTCTCTGTGGAATGCTGCCTTTCAAATAAAAATAAAAAATTTAATCTTTTAAAAACAAGGTTCTAAAAAGGAGCGAGATATTTAAAATATTCTTATATGGAGAATAACTTTGAAGTAGATACACTGAATTGATCTACAATAAAGAAGTCCACATTTTTAAAAACAAATGCAAATCTTCAGCAAGGAATGATGAACAGAAATGGTAAATAAATGCATTAAAAACCTGTGTCCTCTAGAAAGTACCACAGGGTATCCAAAATAAATAGATTTCAAAGCAGGAGGTGGGGAGACGTACACAAATGTGTATTGTATAGACAACATGGACTTAATTTATCTTCTAGAATCTTTAAATATTTTATTCACAGCATACATTATTCAAATTATGCCCATTTAAATATAAATTATATGTATTCTGTTACAGACTTTGTATAGTACATAATCTATACACAGTATATACCTCTAGTTGTATAAATAACACTACAGCCAAAATGTTAGTTAAAAGCAATATGTTTGTCTTAAAATACTTACAAAAATTTTAAAAATGAAAAAATATTTACATACATGACACAGTTAAAGTATCCCATGATTAGACATTTCTCAACTGACATTATCTAAAAATTAATTCTAAATTGTCAATAGTTATGTTGATACAGCAGGAGAGCAATAGGAAGCAAACACACTTGAGAATGAACAGTGCAGAACTATGGAACTTTAGAAGTGAGTGGACGGCTAGAAGCCATCTGGCCATGTTCCCTTCTCAGACCAGAGGAAAGCCCTGCGTGAGGAATCTGGCACTGTGCAGAGCACAGTTGGCCTCAATATTGTCGATCTCTTGGGCTTTCTGTTCTCGCCGTCTTTTAAAACTACATTTTATTTTATTTATTTCAAGGGCAGAGTTACAGTGAGAGAGGGAGAGAAATGCCACCCTTCGCTCCCCAGACAGTCACAGCACCCGGGGCTTGGCCAGGCTAAAATTAGAGCCAGGAAATTCTTCCAGACCCCCCACGTCGGTGTAAGGGTCCAAGCCCTTAAGCCACCTTCTGCTGTTTTCCCAGGCACATTAGCAGGGCCCTGGATCAGAAGTGGAACAGCCAAGACAATCCATTGCCCATATGAGATGCTGTACTGCAGGT